TGGCAATGGATTGAGGAGCAGGTGCTCCCACAGTGGGAAGGGGTGATAGGGCCCGGAGTTGGGGAGCAGCACCGGAGCCAGGGGCACCATCATTGACTGCCAGGCCCACAGGGTGGTGGCAAGTTCACCGTTAGTCATGGTGAGTTTGGGCGGCAGAGAAGCACCCAGGGCTGATGCCCAGGAGACCATGGGCTCCAGGAGAGGGGATGTGGGTTGGGGGCAGATCTTGGGGGGTCTGGGAGCTGTGGATGAAGTGACAAGTGGCCACACCTGCACAGAGGGAGTGAGATGCCTGTACCCTGTGCCTGAACTGAGGAGGAACCACCCAGGGATGGTGCCAGTGGGAAAGTCACCAGGCTCCCTCACTACCATGCCTGCTGCCTGAGCCTGGAAGGGAACAGTGGCCAGCAGCAGATGTTGGGCCAGCGTCCCTTGTGAGGGCAGATGCCTCTGGTCAGATATGGCGGGGACCGGGGAGGCCAGCCTCCTGCCAGTGACCCCCTGCCTCATGCACTGCCTGCCTCCTGCACTGTCCTGGCTCCCCTGGCCACTGGTTCCCCTGCCTGGCTCCTGCAGCACTGGGTGGCCTGGGTTTCTCTCACAGTAAAATCTGGCATTGTTTACCCCTGTTTCTGCCTGAGCAGGCAGTCATCCGCCCCGGGCAGAGGTTGTACCCACTGTCCTCCTGCCTGATGGGGCAAGTCAGGTCCCCTTTGACACCTTTGGGGTCAGAAGACTTTGGAGTCAAATATTTGATCTGCCACACTGAAGCTGTGTGGCCTCAGGCAGCTTGTTTAGCTTCTCCCCGCCTCAGTTTCCTTCTCTGTAAGTGAGAGAAGAGTGCCTCTCTCAGAGCATTGCTGGTGGGATTGAAGGAGAATCCCCTGGCCTGGCACACCAGAGTCCTCAACACTGGTGAGCTCCCCGCTCCTCTGGCTCCATCTGCAGCACAGGACAGACAGGTACAGCACAGGACAAGCAGGTGAAGTACAGGACAGACAGGTGTGACACAGGACAGACAGGTGAAGCACAGGACAAGCAGGTACAGCACAAGACAAGCAGGTGCGACACAGGACAGACAAGTGTGACAGAGGACAGACAAGTGTGACACAGACAGGTACAGCACAGGACAAACAGGTGCAGCCCAGGACAGACAGGTACAACACAAGACAAGCAGGTGTGACACAGGACAGACAAGTGTGATACAAACAGACAGGTACAGCACAGGACAAACAGGTGCAGCCCAGGATAGATAGGTGTGACTCAGGACAGACAGGTGCAGCACAGGGCAGACAGGTACAGCACAGGACAAGCAGGTGCGACACAGGACAGGCAGGTGCAGCATGGGTCAGACAGGTGCGACACAGGACAGACACATGCAGCATGGGACAGATAGGTACAGCACAGGACATACAGATGTAGCACAGGACAGAAAGGTGTGACACAGGACAGGCACCTGCAGAATGGAACAGACAAATGTCTCAGTTATCCTGGCTCCTGGAGCTACTCCTCCCTCAGGGACACACCCCCGTGACCCCTACTCTCTGGTTTCAATAGGTTGTCACCACTCCTCACAACCTCATGTCCCCTGCCACCTTTGAGCCTTTGCCAGGCTGTGCCTCAGCCTGGGGTGTCCTTCCACACAAACCACTTCTCAGTTTTCAAGGCCTGCCCAGGTCACAAACACAATTGCTGAGTTGAGCTAAACCAAATGAGAGAGAAGGAAGGCTGGAGCAGGACAGGAAGGAAGGAGGTCTCGGCTTTGGGCTTGGCTGTCATTCCGGGGAAATTCCTCCTAGCAGGCCCCTTGGGTGGTCAACGGGCAGCTGTTGTGGCCTCCCAGCTGTAGCTCCTTGAGGGAGAGCAGGCCACATCGGGGAGGGGCCAGGCATTGTCTGGTGGTTTCCGAGCCGGGTCAGGGACCCTGCGCTGGGACTTTCTGTTCCCAGTTCTGGCCCCTGCTGCTCCCTTTAGACCCCTGATGACCCTAAACATAGAGACCAGAAAGAGCATGGGGGATGGTGCTCCCAGAACCCCTGGGAACCCAGGCCGGTCTCCTTGGACCCCAAGCAAGCAGTTCAGAGAGAGGGCCACGCTGCTTTCCATCTACATGGTTGCTCTCTGTGGCTAAGCTGCCTCCAAACGGGGCTCACAGCACCCCAGATACCTCCCTCTCATGAGTCCCCAGCCCTTGAGAAAGTCCAGCTTCCAAACACAGGTCTGAGCTGCACAGGCCCCACAGGTCCTGGGGAGCAGCTTGGGTGGCTCCCTGTGGCTCCTGCCCTCAGTCTTTCTTCGCCAGCACAGGCCTGCAATAGACTGGTCAAAGACCAGCGAGGGCCCTGCCTCCTATGGGAGCTTCAGTTTGAGCCTGGTTCTGCACTACCCTGTGGCCCAGGGTTGGTCACTGGGCTGCTCCTGGCCTTAGCTTCCTCCCCTGTGAAATGGATGCGAGAGTGCTTTGTACTCATGAAAGTGGGGTTGTTATTGCACGTTCCCGAGAGACAGATTCTGGGGTTGGCACTGTGGTGTAGTAGGCTAAGCCTCCACATGTGGCACCAGCATCCCATATGGGCACCAGTTCAGGTCCTGGCTGCTCCTCTTCCAATCCAGCTCTCTGCTAATGGTCTGGGAAAGCAGCAGAAGATGGCCCAAGTGCTTGGGCCCCTGCACCTGCATGGGAGACCCAGAAGAAGCACCTGGCTCCTGGCTTCAGATTGGCCCAGCTCCAGCTGTTGTGGCCATCTGGGGAGTCAACCAGCCAATGGAAGACCTTTCCCTCTCTGTCTCTCAAATAAAATCTTTAAAAAAAAAAAAGACACAGATTTTCCGCATCATTGAAGCATGGCCAATGCCTCTCTCAGGTACCTTCTATTGCTCCCAACTGCCTTCAAGACAATGTCCAAATACCTACTCTGGCATACAAGCTCCAGGTGATGGAGCCCAGTGGCACTGCCCAGGGTCCCCCCTACACCACTTGGTCTGGGCAGCTCAGTGTCCCCATGAACATGCAGGTCAGGTCACTTCCCTGAGCATTTGCAAATGTTGTTTCCTCCCCTAGAATAATCATGTGCAGGGTCTGTGGAAGTGAGGAGAGAGCCCGAGGGAGAGGGCACAGAGAGGAGAGAGCTTTGGCGCCAGGCAGACCTGGGCCTGATCCCCACTCCAATCACTGCCTTCCTATCCCTGTTTCCTACATAGCTATCCTAAAGCTAGGGGAGCAGAGCTTGGATTTGAACCCAGGGCTGCTGGTTCTTTCCCTAACTGGCTCACACAGGGGGATGGGGAGATAGCAGCAGCACCACTGGGGACAAGGAAGGATGACCCACAAAGAGAGGTCAAACAGCACCTGGGAGCTGAGAGGAAGAGGTGACCTCCTGCTGGGGAAGTTAGGAAAGCTTCCAGGAGGAGCTGGCATTTGGAGGAGTGAGAAAAGACAGAGAGGAAATCAGTTTCTTTGAATCCCATTGTGGGAGTGGCGGGACACGATGCCGGGGGTCCTCGGCGAGTTGGCCTGGGGCTCTGTGGGAGCCAGATCTGATCCTCATCCCTTTGGTATCTGCACATGGCTTGAGCAGCTGGCTCTCTACCTGCAGCCTGGCTCTGTATCCTGCCCCACCTGCATTCCCACATCCCTCCGTGCCCTGTGACCCTGACCACAGTGCATGTTAGGGCTCAGGAAGCAGGGTATAGAAGTGGCTTCTGGTGGTCGAGGGGCGAGACGCTGGGGCCAGCTTCCTGCTGCAAAGCATGTGCTTACGTGTTTGTGTGCATGTGTATGTATGTGCATGTATGTGTGTTTGTGTGCCTATGTGTGTGCGTGTATGTGCACATGTGTGTTTGTGTATATACGCATGCTTGTGTGCCTATGTGTGTGCGTGTATGTTCATGTGCACATGCACATGCCTGTGTGTGTTTGTGTGTGTGTGTGTGTGTGTGGTGGTGGAGTGGGGAGTGGGGAGCTAGAGTATTTGGTCCAGAGCTGGCCCTGCAGAGGTCAGGAAACTGTCACGGGGAGGGGGGCGCAAAGCATGATGGCCGTACACCTCCAGCCCTCCCCCAACACCCAGCCAAGTTGTCAGCGGCACACTCACAACCCCAAGTGACCCTCCCAGTCTGATTTCCCTTGCATCTCCCTAGAGAGGTCCCTGAGAGGAAGCACCCGCTGGCCCTTCCTGTCAGCCACAGTCCCCACTCCATGGAGTCCCTGCCTGCCCCATGGACCATGCAGCCCTCACTGCCGGGCTCCCAGGAGCAAGTGCCGCCCTGCCTGAGGGGGTGTGAGGGTCACCTGGTGGGAGCAGGTGACACGCAGGTGTCGCCCCTCCCAAGGCCTCCCCCTGCCTCTGCCTGCCCAACAAATGCTCAGTGCTGTGGTTCCAGAAACACCATCCTGGACCCACTGCTTCCTTGTCACTCTCTGAGCTTGGCTCCTGGAGGGTTCAGGACGTTTGCTGTCTAGCCTCCTCCCAGCCAACACAGGTAGGTCCCTGTGGGTCTTGGCACCCGCTTCCTTGTGGGGCACACCTCTGGGGTTCTCTGTCTGCCCTCCCTGCATCCACATCACTCCCTGCCTGGGCCCAGCCACCACTTTCTGCAGTGTCACTCATCTGCCCTTCCCGCCGCGGGCTCAGAGTCTGCCTTCTCTGGACGGGTGCTTGCTCGCTGACCACACTCCTCTCTCCCTCTGCTCCCTCGCCCCTGGAGGGGGCGAGCAGGACGTGATGAGGGGCTTCCCAGCCTGCCTTCCTCTTGTCTCAGTCTCAGTCCCCTCAAGGAGGGGCGGCTGGCTTCCCTGGCTCCAGCTGAGTAAACAGCACCCCTTCCTGCCCCAGCGGTCATTCCCTCTCAGCACACCTCCGCCGCCTCCTGGCCACGTGCCTGACTCTGTGTAGAGCTGCTGCCTGCCCCCATTTTGGGCTCTACTGCCCCTCCCTTCTCACACAAGCAGGCTCCCTGGGTTCTGCCCGATGCCCCTTCCCAACCTTGTTCCGACTCACCTATCCTAGGTCCCATGATGGCTGGAGTGAAGCAAGTTCCAGCCCTCAATTGGATCTCAGGACCTGGAGCTTAGCAGGGAGGAAGTGAGCCTTGCCAAGGGTTCTGGAGACTGCAGCGGATGCACCCACGGCGGGAACCGCAGGCACCCGGCGATGTTTCCCAGGTCACACGGACCAGTAGTCACTGCTTCCAGGCGTGGGTTAGGGAGTCCTGCTCAGACTCAACCCACTCTCCAGGCAGCTGTCTTCCTGGGAAACTTGCTCCGGCCTCTGTGTGCCTGGCTCCTGTGCTCTCCCGGCAGGGGCAGCCTGGGGCCAGAGTTGTAGAGGAGGCGGGTTTGTTTAGGTCCTGCCCCCTGCTGGGAAAGGGCTGTGGTCCCACCCCCCTGTGGCTTAGACTCCGCCTGTTTCTTCCCAGCCTCATTCTAGGCATTTCCCTTGGATATTTCCTTCTACTCTGTTAGCACTGGGGGAGGAAGGAGGACTCGGGATGTCAGTGGGCCTCCCTGATCCTCTGTCTGAGCCCCTTCTTCCCCCAAGCCCTCATCTCCTCGCATTGCGCCACCCCATCTGCCCTTTGCCCTGTGAGGAAGGGAGGACTCTGTCCCCCAGAATGCTGGTGGGGCCCGCCCATCAGTCACAGCCATGGGGGCGGGGAGCAGAAGGGCAGCAGCGAGATGACCAGACTCTTCTGACTTGAGCCTGAGGATGGAGCCCTTGGAGCCAGGCAGACTGGTGTCATCCCAGCCATCTCATGCTTCTCTTCTGAGCAGCCTTGGGAGAGTCCCTACAACTCACTGAGCGTCAGTCCCTTCATCTGTGAACCAAGGACAACAATCCTTGCTGGCAGGGCCCCTGCGGAAGTTCCCTGATGGAGAAAGACACCGCGCCTGGAGGCCTGGAATTCAGGGAAGGGAGTGGCAGGGGTGAACTTGGAACCTCACAGCCAGGGAAAACAAATCCCTTTCACTTTCCCAGCACACACAGTGTGTTCACAGCGTGGCCTGGGGTTGGGCGTCTGTTCCTCCACTTTACAGATGAGGAGCGAGGCTCAGGAATTAGCTGGAGTCATCCAGCTAGCCAGTGGTAGGGCCATGGCTTGGACAACCTCTGTGTGGTCTGCGCACATGGGTTTGCATTCTGCTTTGTTGCTTGCCAGTGTCTGGTGTGGGCTGCTCCCTGTTATGTGTTTTACAAGCTTTTCTCTCTGTCCAGGCTGTTCTTTCTGAGGAAGATCTCTGGGTTTCTCCAAATCCAAGATACAAAAGTGAGCCTGATGCCATTCCAGGATAGGACCTTTGCATGGAGTGGGCATGTGAGGTTTGGGGTCTCTGAGGTACCCAGATAAACACCCATCAATCACAATTGGCTCCTAGTGGTTGTGTAAGGGCGCAAGTCACAAGGAGGGCATATCTGAAGTAATCACACTCTACTGGCACCCAGCAGGCACTCAGCAGACAGCTGTTGTGTGGATGAATGAGTCTTTGAGAAACTGGAGGTGTAAAGGCACGCATGACCACTGCCGTGGGAGAGACCAAGAGTTGACATGGATGGGTCAAGATGCCAGCCCCTGATCCTGCTTGAGAAAAACAAATTGGGTCTGTCTATACTTCCTGAGACTGAAGTCAGTGCTGTGAGTCTTCACAGAGTTGGCAGACACGGAGACTTCCAGCCTCCAATTGTGGGTACCTTGCCGAGAGCAAGAAAGGCCCTTTAGACTCACCGGAGGCTCCATTGTCCCATCTTGGCCTCAGAGGCTGAAGAAGTTGTGTGCAAAGTCTAGGTATATTCTGGGGCCAGCATGGCTGGCTAAGTTCATCTTGCCATTGCTGGACACAACCCTGCTCTGTGCCCTGCACGTGCTGTACTCTCGGGCCCGAGTGGCTTTCATTAATTACTGCAGCCCCCCCAGGCTGCCACAGCCTGGGCCAAGGATAGGCCTGATCTCAGAGCTGTGGACCTGGAGCAAGCGTAAGCCACCTAGGACCCTTTGGGACTGAAGTTAAGAGGCCTGCAGACTGGCTCCAGGCTAGTCCTGCAGCCAAGTCCCCCTGTGGATGGCCTAGGCTCAGGTCCGCACACATGGGCTTGCACCCAGCTCTGTTGCTTGCCAGCATGTAGTGCTGGCTGCTCCCTGTTGTTGAGTTTTGCAGAGCCCCATGACATGTGCGGCTCCAGCACCAGCTGTAGATTCCCACAGTTTGCAAAACTTGATGCCTTATTTAGCGTCTCACGCTGCTGGCAGGGCTTCACATGATCTGCAGAGCTCTGCGGCTCCCAGGGCCTCATGCCGTTCGCACGCATGTCTCAAGCTAAGCTGCTGCTGGTCAGAATCCTGGGCGGCGTGCAAAACCCGAGCCCTTCCCCTCTTCCAGTCAGCCCAACTACAGAACTACATTTCTGTAAGCAGATGAAATACAAGAGTTCTCATTTTGTCCTTTGCAACTATCTAACAAGGATGGTCTCTGCTTCAGGCTCCAGTTCCTCCTTGGCTCCAGCTAAGACCTCCAGAATGGCCTTTCCCAGTCATCTTTCTACCATCCTGATCATTGCCACACCAGTAATCTCTAAGTTCCAACTTTCCCTACCGTTCTCTTCTGAGCCCTCCCCATATCTCCCTTAATGTTCCATTCACGCAAGTTGTGCTTTTTATTCTTGTTCTTTAAAAATATTTATTTTTATTTATTTGAAATGCAATTAGAGAGAGAGAGAAATATCTTCCATCTACTGGTTCACTCCCCAAATGGCCACAACCACCAGGGCTGGGCCAGGCTGAAGCCTGGAGCCAAGAGTTTCATCTGGACCTCCCACATGGGTGCAGAGACACAAGCACTTGGGCCATCACCCACTGCTTTCCCCAGGTCATTAGCAGGGAGCTGGATGGGAAGTGGAGCAGCCGGGACTAGAACAGGTACTTGTATGCCATTTTTGCAGGTGGTAGCTTAACCTGCTACACCACAGCACCAGCCCCAAGACCCCAGTTCTCATCCTAGTCCTGCTCCAGGCCTGCTGCAGGCAGGCAAATCCTTTGTTCTGTCTGGGTCTCAGTTTTCCCATCTGTTAGATGGAGATGGGACATCATAGCACTCACCTTTAGGCCTGAGGATCCCTGTGTAAATGCCCAGAAGATGGGGGGTACGGGTAGAAGGAGGAAGAGAGACAAGAGGCTTCTTCCCGAAAAAGGCTGCAAACTGCCCTGTCAGCACCTTTGTTCCCACTTCCCTGTGGCCTGGCCACCAGGCAGCGGATATCTATAAATGAGCCCTGGCCAGGAGGACAGTGAGGACCTCAGTCGGAGCCTGGGCCTGCCTTGCCCCTGGGAACTGCCCTGGGGCCAGATCCCCTGCCTGCAGAGATACTCTCATGCTGGCACTCTGGCTCTGCCCAGGGAAGGCAATGTCGTACTTATGTGCCTCCCTGGGGAGGACACTGCCACTCAAATAGGCCATGTGACTTCCCGTGGCTACAGGATGAGCAAATGGCAGCGCTGGGGTCTTATGAGACAGGACAGCAGGGGGGATGCATGGTCCTCATCAGGTCAGCATGAAGTCTTCAGACTGGGGACTGAGGCATAGAGAGTGAGGTGACTGTAGGCTCCTATTTCCCTGGCTGGTGGATGAGGAACAGGCCCCATCCTGCCAGGCGTCCAGGGCTTGCCTCATTTCCTAGCCTGGGATCAGGTGGGTATCAGGCTTCGTGGCCCTTCTAACCGGGGCTGTCCCTAGCCACTGGGCTCTTCCTGCCCACCCAGCCTTGTGACAGCCATGCTGTACTCTCTGTGGCCGCCAGGACCCTGCTGGAGAGCCCCACACCCATCCTTCAGCATCTCCCTGGGGAATCCACCTCCTGCCCCTCCAACCCCCACCCCTACAAGCAGCCTGCCCCTGGGTGTGACTCCCTCCACCTCCCATCTGCCTCTACTTTCAGCTAAGTCCTGACCCAGTCAGAAGCTTTCTGGAGCTTTGGTACCTCATCTGCAAAGCAGGGATGGCAAGTCGCCTCTATCAGGAGTGTGCCTGGCCCTTCCCCCCATGACAGCTTTTCTCTCCCAGGAGACTAAACTCCCCTGAGGCCTGGATGGGTGACCTGGGGTGGGCCACTTGTCCTCTCTGGTCCCCAGTGCCATTCTCTGTGAAATGCCCACCCAGAGCTGTCATAAGACTTGGATGAGCTGGTGGATGCACCAGTGCTTACCGAATTCTGTGAGCTGCACACACATAGGCCATTATAACTATGGAAACAATGGCGTCTGGTGATCCTGCAAACAGAGGCTGAGGAAGGAGCAGACCATGGCAGCTGTGTGTCAGGTCAGTCTGCCCCCATGGACATCCCCAGGGAACAAGGGCCCTTGGGTGGGAGGGAGGTTCAGCAGGCTGGATGGTCACTGTTAACAGCCATCTGGGAGCTGGGGTTGTAGCTCAGCAGGTGAAGCCACAATGCCTATGACACCAGCTTTCCATATGGGCACCAGTTCGAGTCTTAGCTGCTCCACTTCTGATCCAGCTCCCTGCCAATATGCCTGGGAAAGACGTGGAAGACAGCCCAAGTCCTGGGCCCCAGCACCCACATGGGAGACCTGGATGCCATTCCAGGCTCCTGGCTTTGGACTGGCCCAGCCCTGGTTGTTAGAGCCACTTGGGGAGTGAACCAGCAGATAGAAAATCTCTCTCTCCCTCTGTCTCTCCCTCTCTCTCTGTAACTCTTTCAAATAAATATATACACACAAACAAGGTGTTTGTTGTGATCTGTGCCACTCACAGGGCTCTAGACTGGACACTGGCTGCCCTGTGGCCCCCAGCCCTAGCTCTGCCACCAACAGGCTGGCAGGGGACAGATCCACTTGCCTGCCCAGTCCTCAGTTTCCTTCTGTAAAATGGTCAGTGGTGGAGGAGGTAGGGGGAAGGGTCCCATTCTGCCCTGTCCCTGTCTCTGGAAGACCACATGAGCCAAGGATGACCCTTGTGATTCAAGTGTGGGATTATAGTCATTAATAATTTGTCCCCTTGGAGAGAGAACACGGTGGGGGTAGAGGCGGTACAGACCAGGCTGGGAGGGGAGATGGGGGTAGGGCAGGCATGGGAGTGAGGTGGGGACTGGGGCCGGATAGAATCAGCATCTGCTCCTGGAGGGGGATAGTTTAGAGCTAGGGCCCCAGTTCCCTGAAGACTCTGCAACACTGCCCCCTGGGGGCCAGAGAGGAGGTCTGTGCCTCTGGCTTTTTCTCGCGGATGCCAGTCAGGGAAGATGGATCTTTCCAAGGACCAGGGTTGCAGAGGCTGAAGTTGACAGGCTGGAAGGAGCCCAGTGACAGCAGCCTGTGCCTGTCCCTGCTTC